TTCACTTTAAGTGCTACAGTTGGTTTTATATATTTTTCCATGCATGAGTTATCAGAAAAGAGCATCTAAATGGTAAGCTGCTGTGTACATGAGAACATGTAGCAAATATAAAGCAGGTGTTCTTCAAATTTTGGCTGCAAACGTAGAAATAAACCTTAAAGTCTCATTACATGGAACTTGTTATACAAAATATAGCATCCTCAACTGTTCCCTAGATGTAAATTTGTGAGAAATAACCCAGTGCAATACAACTTTCTACTCAAGCAAAACTTTGACTAATAGCAGGTTGTGGCTGTTTGCGAGTTAGATGTACAGACTGGGAGTTTACTATCTGATGAGATAAATGCAAAAGGATTCAGGAGCTTTCTTTTTCCTTGCAATACTGGACATTGTGTATTTAGGCAGATATTACAACTTGGCACAAATGTCAAATACAATAAATATACTGGCACAACACATGCTTAGTGTTACTAAACCCACAACAGTGAGATCTGTCTGTATATGCAGTAAAGCATGCTTGTTGTACTCACTGTGGAACCTAAGGGGTTAATGCTCTGCATTGTGTAAAAAGGCTGTTTGATCCTGACTTCTCTGTTCCTTCTCTTTTTCAAGCGACCACCTCCTATTTCCAGACTGAACCATATTACACATGCCCAGTTAGGTGTGTATTGCTAGAGAGGTTTTTTTTTCCTTGGGAGAGTGCATGTGATTAGCACAGGACCAATCAGCACTGTCCAGAGAGGTAAGGGGATTTCCATCCTCCTAGAGCAGAAAGAAAACTCCTACTACAAGCTTTAGCTAGTGGTGAGCTGAACACTGATATAAGTCACAAGACTGCTCTAACTGCTGATGCGAAAAAGTATTTAGCAGTTTATATTTACTAAAATAATTGCACTTCCATGTTCTGTGTACCGTTGGAGACCAGCTATAGTGAATGCAGGGTCCTGGGTTTAGTAACACTTTGATATAAAAAAAAATCATACATAATTGAAGCCTTTCCCCTTCTTTTTTTTTTTTTTTTTTTTTTTTTTTTTGAAACCCATGCTTACCAGGTTGTGTGTCTTGCACATTTCAGATACTTACCCACCTAGCAGATCTAGCATTGTCCTGCTGAAATCCTCCTCTCTTCTGCCACTGTTCAGTCGTGCACTATCATGTTTTTTGTGTGTCATCAGGGGCTGCCAGCATTTTTTTTCCCCTCATCCTTTACTGAATGAAAAACTATGCCACCTGGGATTTGTAACATGTATATCCCAAGTGGCATCGGGAGCATGGGGAAAATGGGGGTGGCCCAAAGACTTTTCATAAAAAGGTAATTAAAAGAAGAAAAAAGAGAGGAGGGATGACCTTTTTGAGTGTAAAGATGCATGTTAAGCTATAAATTAAATACTTTAAGTTGCCATTTAGCTATCTTTTGTATACCTATAGGCACTTGATTTCCAGGTAGAACACTGGCACATCCTTAACACAATTTGGGAGCTCTCTCAGCATCAATAAATAGTTTCCAGACAAATAAAGGAGTTAAAGTGTATGTAAAGGCATATTTTTTTACATTTTGGGTACAGTATGGAAAGTTTAGACCCCTTCAAGTTTTTATCGCTGTCTGTGTCTCATCTGTTAAGATTCACCCACTCACTGATTTGCTAAAACTGGAGAATGCAAAATCGGGAGCAGCTCTGCATAGAAACCAATCTGGGTTTTATTGTCAAAGCTTAATTGAACATCCTGAAGTGAGAAGCTGATTGGCTGCCATGCGCAGCTCCACCAGATTTTGCATTCTCCAGTTTTAGTCAGTCAACGCCTATGTGTTGTATTGACCAGATGGACATCCAAAAATTTTGAGTTGAGACCAGAGCAGGAGAAGAGGGGAAAGTCCTTCAATGGGGCAGACATTCCTGTGACAACTGATAAGAATTCAGTTTGTTTTTGTGTTGTGTCTTAATGACAAGAAGTGAAAAAAATATCCCCAGTGGGAAACAACCAGAAAAAAATAACCCCACCCTATTCTAGCTAAACCTAAACAAGTTTTGTCTTTACATATAGTTAAGCTAGCTGCGTATCTTTAAATCCATGGCAAATCTACCAGGTTTATGTCTGGTATAAAACTGACCTTCTTTTCCTCCTAACAAATCTTAAATTCAATAAGTAGATGTAATACTCTAAATCAGTGGTTCTCAACCTTTCTAATGCCGCGACCCCTTAATACAGTTCCTCATGTTGTGGTGACCCCCAACCATAAAATTATTTTCGTTGCTACTTCATAACTGTAATTTTGCAGTGGGAGGACTAGCGCCCCATCACTGATGTCAGTGGGATGAATAGTGTCCCATCGTTGGTATCAGTGGGAGGAATAGTGCCCCATCATTGGTGTCAGTGGGAGGAATAGTGTCCCATCATTGGTGTCAGTGGGAGGAATAGTGCCCCATCATTGGTGTCAGTGGGAGGAATGGTGTCCCATCATTGGTGTCAGTGGGAGGAATGGTGCCCCATCATTGGTGTCAGTGGGAGGAATAGTGCCCCATCATTGGTGTCAGTGGGAGGAATAGTGCCCCATCATTGGTGTCAGTGGGAGGAATAGTGCCCCATCATTGGCGTCAGTGGGAGGCATAGTGCCTCATCATTGGCGTCAGTGGGAGGAATAGTGCCCCATCATTGGCGTCAGTGGGAGGAATAGTGCCCCATCATTGGCGTCAGTGGGAGGAATAGTGCCCCATCATTGGCGTCAGTGGGAGGAATAGTGCCCCATCATTGGCGTCAGTGGGAGGAATAGTGCCCAATCATTGGCGTCAGTGGGAGGCATAGTGCCTCATCATTGGCGTCAGTGGGAGGAATAGTGCCCCATCATTGGCGTCAGTGGGAGGAATAGTGTCCCATCATTGCGTCAGTGGGAGGAATAGTGTCCCATCATTGGCGTCAGTGGGAGGAATAGTGTCCCATCATTGGCGTCAGTGGGGGGAATAGTGTCCCATCATTGGCATCAGTGGGGGAATAGTGCCCCATCATTGGTATCAGTGGGAGGAATAGTGCCCCATCATTGGTATGAGTGGGAGGAATAGTGCCCCATCATTGGTGTCAGTGGGAGGAATAGTGCCCGATCAATAGTATCAGTGGTAGGAATAGTGCCCCATCGTTGGTGTCAGTGGAAGGAATAGTGCCCCATCGTTGGTGTCAGTGGGAGGAATAGTGCCCCATCGTTGGTGTCAGTGGGAGGAATAGTGCCCCATCTTGGTGTCAGTGGGAGGAATAGTGCCCCATCGTTGGTGTCAGTGGGAGGAATAGTGCCCATCGTTGGTGTCAGTGGGGGGAGGAATAGTGCCCCATCGTTGGCGTCAGTGGGGGGAGGAATAGTGCCCCATCGTTGGCTTCAGTGGGGGGAGGAATAGTGCCCCATCGTTGGCTTCAGTGGGGGGAGGAATAGTGCCCCATCGTTGGCGTCAGTGGGGGGAGGAATAGTGCCCCATCGTTGGCGTCAGTGGGGGGAGGAATAGTGCCCCATCGTTGGCGTCAGTGGGGGGAGGAATAGTGCCCCATCGTTGGCGTCAGTGGGGGGAGGAATAGTGCCCCATCGTTGGCGTCAGTGGGGGGAGGAATAGTGCCCCATCGTTGGCGTCAGTGGGGGGAATAATAGTGCCCCATCGTTGGTGTCAGTGGGAGGAATAGTGCACCATCGTTGGTGTCAGTGGGGGGAGGAATAGTGCCCCATCGTTGGTATTAGTGACACAAATGATGGGGCACTATCCCTTCCACTGACACCAATGATACTTACCTTGCTGACTCCTGCTCCAGCCTGGGCTCGCTCTCTCTCCCTCTCCCATCTACAGCCTGCATACCTGGCTGCAGCAGCAAAATTTGCACTTACCTGTCAGCTGTCTTCCTTCTCTGGCCTCTCTCTTCACTCGTTCCTGCAGCAGCTCCCTCAATATTCTTCGATCTCCGCTCGCTGCCGCTCGGCTCCTCCTCTCCAAACTCCACCTTCTCGCCGGTGATTGGCCGCCTGTGTGTGCCTCTCCTGAGCTACAGTTCCGGTGGCCAATCAGCGGCGAGGAGGCGGTGACAGGGGCAGCATATCATCCCGCCCACACATCACCGGAGACAGCAGCGGTGTCTCGGTTCCTAAGACCATCGGAAATATGTGTTTTCCGATGGTCTTAGGCGACCCCTGGGAAATGGGCGTTCGACCCCCAAAGGGGTCGCGACCCCAAGGTTGAGAACCGCTGCTCTAAATAATTTATATTGTAATGATTCTTGGGCATGTACTTTTAATAATATCTTAAAACTATGTCCCATTTTGTCTCTGCAGATATTTCTTCCATTATACAGCTGAAAATTGGAAACACCACTGGAAATAACTAAGATGCCAGAAGTTGCAAAATTGTGTACCGTGCCACAGGATAAACAAAAAGTACAGCCGAAAGTAGTATTCAGTCAATCTGTCCAATGAAAATAACAAAATATATACTGCTTTTTCAACGTATCATCGAGAACTTGAACCATCATCAAATAAGAGATAAAACCTAAAGTACTGCAAATGTTTCTTTGGCAGTGATTCAAGAAATTACTCTTGAACTGGAATACAAACATGACAACTCCGTAATTAGATGAGTAAGCAAGCATGCATACCAGTAATGAAGACCTTGTTGATGCTTCTTATAAAAAAGAACCAGTTAGAAATGCAGACTTGCTATATCAACCACATATTACTTCTCTAATCCTCTCTAGTTGGCTTCTTGTATTACAGACATAATTATTAGATGTAAAAACTGCTCATAAATTGGAGACAAATACTGAAAGCCTTTCTTTAACCAATTTAGCAATGTGTGCCAAAGTCACGTATACAATGGATTTTTTTAAACCGCAGTTGAAAAATGAATCAAATATATTATTGATTTGCAGCCTAATGGATCATGGCTCCAAATGTAGTAGAACACTCTCTTTTGACAATTATTTGTGTTTTTCTGTCATTGTTCCATGTATGTTATAGCAATTATTCTGATAATTGGATGACACCCAACACTGATGTCACTCACCATAAGAAACTGTTTCATGTCACTGCTACCATCAAGCAGACAAACAACCCTTCTCATCCACGGCTGTATTTTGATAGCGCAGATGTTCATGGATTAAAACAAAAGTCCCATGCCACTCATTTACATTTATTTAGAGCAATCAAAAATGCTGTTAGCAAGATGTTGGCTAATCCATCTGTGTACCTGCCTCCTCAGAAGCATTCTGATTTTGCAGCCAAGTGGAATGAGATTTATGGGAATAATCTGCCACCCTTGGCACTGTACTGCCTTCTTTCTCCAGATGATAAAGCGTCATTTACTTTTGTACTAGAATATATGGACAGAATGGCAGACTACAAAGATTGGTTTGTTCAAAATTCCCCTGGGGATGAAGTCCCAGTTGCACACTCTTTATCTGGTTTTGCCACTGCATTTGACTTTTTGTATCATTCACTTGACCGAGACAGAAGAAAAAAATATTTAAAAAAAATTGAGACTGTGAGTAGTGAAATGTATGAATATTCCAAAGTTCATTCATGGGGTAAACAGTTCTTACACAACCATCAAACCACTAACATGATTGCATTGCTCACTGGTGCACTTGTTGTGGAAGAGTATAAATTAAGCCAGGCAAGCATCTGGAAGGAAATTGCTATTGATGTGATGGAAAAGACAATGTTTTTGCTAAATCACGTGGTAGATGGTTCTCTTGATGAAGGAGTTGCATATGGAAGCTACACAGCAAAATCCATTACACAGTATGTTTTCTTAGCACAACGACATTTTGGCATTAATCATTTAGAGAACAATTGGCTGAAAATGCACTTTTGGTTTTATTATTCTACTTTGTTGCCTGGTTATCAGAGAACTGTTGGAATAGCAGATTCTAATTACAACTGGTTCTATGGCCCAGAAAGCCAGTTGATATTCCTGGATACGTTTATCCTGAAAAATGGGGCTGGAAATTGGTTAGCAGGTCAGATTAGAAAGCACAGACCTAAGGATGGACCAATGGTACCATCTGTTGCACAGAGATGGAGCACGCTTCATACAGAATACTTGTGGTATAATTCTGAACTACTTTCACATCCACCAACAGATCATGGTACACCAAAAATGCATTTGTTTTCCAATTGGGGTGTTGTAACTTATGGGGCTGGCTTGCCTCATTCCCAGACTAACACATTTTTTTCATTCAAGTCTGGAAAGCTTGGTGGTCGAGCTGTCTATGATATTGTCCATTTTCAACCATACTCTTGGGTAGATGGCTGGAGAAGTTTCAATCCTGGTCATGAACATCCTGATCAGAATTCTTTCACTTTTGCTCCAAATGGACAAGTATTTGTTTCAGAGGCTCTTTACGGTCCAAAATTTAGTCATTTGAATAATATTTTAGTTTTTGCTCCATCTCCTACGAGTCAGTGCAATAACCCATGGGAAGGACAACTTGGTGAATGTTCACAGTGGCTAAAATGGACAACTGATGCTTCTGGAGATGCAGCTGGTGAGATTATAACAGCAAGTCAGCAAGGGGAGTCTGTTTTTGTAAGCGGTGAAGCAGTGGCTTCCTACTCGTCTTCAATGAAATTAAAAAGTGTTTATCGTTGTCTGTTACTTTTAAACCACCAGACTTTGCTTGTACTTGATCATATTGAAAAGAATGAAGACTCTCCAATCTCTTTAGTTAGTGCCTTTTTTCATAATTTAGACATAGATTTCAAATATGTTCCCTATAAACTTTTGAACAAATTAAATGGTGCTATGATGGACATTTGGGATGCACATTACAAAATGTTTTGGGTAGATCAAAATGGTAATAGCCCTGTAGCTAAAATTCAAGAAGCTGAACAGACAGCAGAGTTCAAAAAGCGATGGACTCAGTTTGTAAATGTTACTTTTCCAATAAACCAAAAAATTTCAAGGATTGCATATTTATTTCATGGACCATATGTCAATGTTTCAAATCTAAGATTCCTAGACAATAGCAAATATGGAGTTAAACTCTCTGTAAAAATAAATGATACAGAAAATGTGGTGTCCATGGTAACAGATTATAATGATCTCCAGGTCAGATTTAATTTTCTTGGCTTTGGAGGGTATGCAAAATTAGAAGACCAAAATAAAATCGTACAATTTGGCCTGGGAACTGAGCATAAAAGAAAAATAAACTAATTAATGTGAATGTGTTTCACTTTGGACTTAGGATCAATCTAATCATGGGTTTATTATTAGGTGTAGGTTTGGGAATTTTAGCATTTCATTGGAGATTCTATATTCCATTTGGTAAACTGATGCGTTGGATATTGGTTCTAATCATAACACTATGGTTTTTTGAATTAGTAGATGTGTGGACAACGTGTACTCAGCCTATTTGTCCAAAGTGGAACAGTGTGGTTGCAGATACAGAAAGCATTAAGATATCTGAAACATATTCTTCTAATTTGCCTACTGTAGTGATTACATCTCTGCCAGGTTCGGGAGCAGAAATTTTAAAAGTACTCTTTTTTAACAGTTCAGATTTTGTTTACATCAAGGTCCCTACAGCTTACATTGACATTCCTGAAGCACAGTACAAAATTGATTCCTTTCTTGATGCTTGTGAATGGACTGGCTCTGATGTACAGGATGGACATTTTCAACTAATTCAAGGCTGGCTTCAGTCTTTACTTCAAAACACACAGCTCCATTTACAGAACATTGATTTACAGGAGGTCAATAAGCTCAAACTTTTTCATCACCCCTCAACTAGCAAAGATAAAAGAAGAAGATCTAAAAGGAAAGACACTTTTTTTGAACAAAAAAATAAACTAAAAGGAATTTATGATAGAGATGCAGACTATGTTAGACAATTACGCAATCATCTATCATTATTTCCCAAGGCTCAGCCTGTGCTTAGCCTAAGTAGTGGAAGTTGGACTTTAAAGCTTCCATTTATTCATAAAGTTGTTGGGCCTCAGCTAAGGGCATTATTTATAATTCGCGACCCACGAGCATGGGTTTATTCTATATTTTATAAAAGTAATCCCAGTCTTTATTTCTTAAAAAATGTTCCACAACGTTTATCATCAATGTTCCAGGAGAAAGAAAAGCAGAAATGTAGCTCAAATTCTGGCTATGCATATGAGTATGAATCATTAAAAGAAGAATTGTCTAACTCTAAGACAGATGACATCTCAAAACTTTCTCATCTATGGTTAGCAAATACAGCAGCAGCAGTTAGGATAAACAGTGATTTACCCCCAAAAAATTATCTTTTGATCAAATTTGAAGATATTGTTAACTTACCACAACAGACTACTGAAAGAATATACTCCTTTTTTGGTATTCCTCTTTCACCTGCAAGTTTAAACCAAATAATTTTTGCCAGTTCCACCAACTTATTCTACCTACCCCATGAAGGAGAGATTTCACCTGCTAGTATAAATATGTGGAAACGTAACATGCTGATGGAAGAAATCAAACTAATCGAGGACATTTGTTGGACACAAATGGATAAGCTTGGATATGAAAGGTTTAAAGGTTGAAAGGTATATTGCAAAACCACTGTAATACAGGCTAAGCCAAAAATCATCATTATGGACAAGGATTTTCTGAGTTGTGGCCTCTGTGTGCTGCAGGTCAGCAGCCATTTGCACTAGTACAATATGCTTTATAATTTAAGACCAGAATAAAATATTGTTTATTCTTGTATATTGTATTTTAGATTTTTTTTAATAGATTATTTTATGCATAGTCATTTTAGAAGCTGTAAATTTAATGTTCTATAACACACATATTCTTCTAGTTAGAATTTAACAAACTTAAATTGTATAAAGAGATATTTATGTTTCTGCTTGGTTCTCTTCTTTATGGTTTGGTTGTTTTCTTAAAGCAGAGCATTTTCAGTTTAAGGCCATTTACAAATGGCCATCAAGAGTGTCTCTTATGTGTTTCTCACACCCTCTGAGTACTTTCTTACTTAGACTTAAAGAAGAACTCCAAATAGATGTTAAAAACATAATTAACCACCTCTACTGGGAGAAGTAGAAGCAGAACAAGGAGCAAGTTTGTTTATGTGCTAACAAGGAGCGCATATATCTGCTCATCTTCAATGTCCTGTCACAGGCTGGGGACAAGGAGGAGACCTGTTAGTAATATTGGATCTAGAAAAGAAAAGACATCCACCTGTTTTGCCAGGCTGTGACAAGAACTGTGTAAATCAGGATGACAGAAATACAAAGTCTTTGGCAGGATATGGGCACACACACTCACACTCTCACACTCTCTCTCACTCTCTCTCTTGGGACGCCTGCCTTTACACACACATGAACTTTAATGGCATCCCAGTCTTTGTCCGTAGGGTTCAATATTGAGTTGGCCCACCGTTTGCAGCTATAACCGCTTCAATTCTTCTGGGAAGGCTGTCCACAAGGTTTAGGAGTGTGTCAGAAGCACATTTGTGAGGTCGGGCACTAATTCATCCCAAAGGTGTTCTCTTGGGTTGATGTCAGGACTTCGTGCAGGCCAGTCAAGTTCCTCCACCCCAAACTCCCTCTTCCATGTCTTTATGGACCTTGTTTTGTGCACTGGTACACAGTCATGTTGGAACAGGAAGGGGCCATCTCGAAACTGTTCCCACAAAGTTGGTTGCATGAAATTGTCCAAAATGTTTTGGTAAGCTGATGCCTTAAGAGTTCCCTTCACTGGAACTAAGGAGTTAAGCCCAACCGCACACAATAATCCCCCCTCCACCAAAATATACAATGCAGTCAGGTAAGTACCACTCTCCTGGTAACCACCAAACCCAGACATATCCAGTCTGTTGCCAGACAGAGAAGCATGATTCATCATGAACACATCTCTACTGTTCTAGAGTCCAGTGCCAGTGTGATTTACACCACCGCATCTGATGTTGGAACAGGAAGGGGCCATCTCGAAACTGTTCCCACAAAGTTGGTTGCATGAAATTGTCCAAAATGTTTTGGTAAGCTGATGCCTTAAGAGTTCCCTTCACTGGAACTAAGGAGTTAAGCCCAACCGCACACAATAATCCCCCCTCCACCAAAATATACAATGCAGTCAGGTAAGTACCACTCTCCTGGTAACCACCAAACCCAGACATATCCAGTCTGTTGCCAGACAGAGAAGCATGATTCATCATGAACACATCTCTACTGTTCTAGAGTCCAGTGCCAGTGTGATTTACACCACCGCATCTGATGCTTTGTATTGCACTTGGTGATGTAAGGCTTGGATGCAGCTGCCCTGCCATGGAAATCCATTCTGTGAAGCTCTCTACACACTATTGTGCTAATCTGAAGCCCACATGAAGTTTGGAGGTCTTTATCTACTGACTCTGCAGGCAGTTGGCGAGTTCTGTGCACTGTACGCTTCAGCATGCGCTGACCCCGTTCTGTCATTTTACATGGCTTACCACTTCATCGCTGAGTTGCTGTTGTTACCAGTTGCTTCCACTTTGTTATAATACCACTAACCGTTGATCAAGAAATATTTAGTAGCAAGGAAATTTCACGTATGGAATTATTGCACAGGTGGCAACCTATCGCAGTACCACACTTGAATTCACTGAGCTCCTAAGAGCGACCCATTCTTTCACATATATTTGTAGAAGCAGTTTGCATGTATAGGTGCTTTATTTTATGTAGCCATGGAGGTGATTAGAACAGTTGAATCCAATGATTTAGATGTGTGTCCCAATACTTTTATTAACATCGTTTTAATTGGAGTATAGCATCAAGTCATTTAAACTCCTGGGATATTGATCTGGTCAGTTAAGTAGCAGAGGGGGTTGTTAATCAGTTTCAGCTGCTTTGGTGTTAAATTAACAGGTACACTAGATGGGCAACAGTGAGATGACCCCCAAGACAGGAATGGTTTTAAAGGTGGAGGCCACTGACTTTTTTTGTTTTCCCTACTCATCTTTTCTGACTGTTTTTCACTAGTTTTGCATTTGGCTAGGGTCAGTGTCACTACTGGTAGCGTGAGGCGATATCTGGACCCTACAGAGGTTGCAGAGACAGTCCAACTCCTCCAGAATGGCACATCAATATCTACCATTGCCAGAAGATTTGCTGTGTCTCCCAGCACAGTCTCAAGAGCATGGAGGAGATTCCAGGAGACAGGCAGTTACTCTAAGAGAGCTGAACAGAGCCGAGAAGGTCCTTATTGTCACAAGTTAGCCTGCAGCCTCTTGTGTGTTTATTCTTACCTCCTTGCTGCTCTTGATTCCTTCACATGTGTGTTTTGTGCTCACCTGTGGGCGTCGTCTGCTATCCTCTGGGTTTTATGTCCTTCCCTTCTATCACTTCCTGGCCCGCCTCCTAGCTGGTTTGTCTATTTAAGACTTGCTCAGTCTGTCCCACTTTGCCTGAGCAACCTCATGTTGTTGGAGCTCCCTTGTGTTTCTGCTGTGAATCCTGTGTTGTCTGTCTGTGTACCAACCCTGGCTTCGTTCCTGACATTGCTTGTTTTCCACCTGTCCTGACCTCGGCTTGCCCATTGGATTCCCTGTGTCTTCTCCCATTGTACCCTGCTCCCGCTAGCGGTCTCCTCCACCTCAGCTAGGTGTACCTGGGGGCCGCGACCTGGTCCCAGCCTGCTGCAAGTCCATCCCCACCATCGGGCCCTGGTGAACAAGCAGGCTGGGGCTTAGACTCCGAGCCCTGGGGAACCCCAAGCTGTGGACCTATAGAGCTCACTACCATAGGCGTTGACAGTTTGCTTAGGCCATGAGCTCTTTGGAGACACCGCAGCTTGTCCTGGAACAACTTCAAGAGTTGGCGCTGAGAGTCGAGGTCCATCAGGCCTTTCAGGAACAAATCATGCACTGTCTGCAGGATCTCTCCTCCCGGTTGGATCAGCTACAGGTTGTGTCCACTTCCTCAGCCTCAGTTTCGGCCCCTGCTCTGGTTCCCGCTGCTCCACCTTCCGATGTTCCCCCAGTGGAACACTGTCCTTCGAGACTCGAGCTGCCTCCACCACCTCACTTCTCTGGTGATCCCAAAGCTTGTCGGGGCTTCATCAATCAGTGCTCAATTCACTTCGAGCTAGCAGCCCACCATTTTTCTACTGACTGTTCCAAGGTGGCATATATGATTTCCCTCCTTTCTGGTGAAGCACTGGCTTGGGCCTTACCACTGAGGGAGTGACAAGATCCAACTATTTGCAGCCTCCAAGCCTTCCTGCAAGCTTTCCATAAAACCTTTGATGTGCCTGGCAGGACTTCATCTGCCGCAGGAGCTCTTCTTCGGCTTCGTCAAGGTAGCAGGACTGTTGGACAATATGCAGTTCAGTTTCGCACCTTCGCTTCGGAACTGGCATGGAATAATGAGGCCCTCTCTGTAACCTTCTGGCAGGGTCTAGCAGACCGTATTAAGGACGAACTAGCTGGAAGAACCATACCCACCACCCTGGATGACTTGATTGCTCTTAGCATCCAGATCGATATCTGCTTCCAGGAGCAAGATCTGGAAAGGGCTTATCCACGACTCCTTCCCGTGGGTTCTTTTGCTCCTGTTTTCCAGAAAGTCCCTGATCAACTTACCTCTGCTACCATACCGACATCTGAAGAGCCCATGCAGTTAGGCCAAACACACCTTACTCCACAAGAGCGATCGCGTCACCTAAGATTTGGTCTATGCCTTTACTGTGGGGCTGAAGGTCATCTAAGTAAGTCATGTTCTGTCCGCCCACCTCGCACTGTACCCGTGGCTAAGGCCACCACCTCTCCAATGCTCCTTCAACATTGCCAGACCTTACAAGATGTTTCTTGTAGTAAAGCTGCTCCCTGCCTACTCCTATTGCGGGCCCCCTTCTGGTGCTGTCCACCTCTAGTTCCTTACCCTCTTTGCTGCCCAAATCTTCAGTCCCTTTACATACTTTGCAGCTTAGAGCTCCTATGTTGCTTCTTTCTGGGTGGGTGGAGGTCCCAATATCTGTGACCTCTGTACCATCTGAGTTCCCAGATTCATGTGCTCTGCAGGCCGAGACCCCAAAACTCCCTTCAGCTGCTTTGTACCCAGCTGTGGTTTCCACATTACTAGCTATTGTACTCTCTGTCCCCTGTCCTGCCCCCCCTACACCCTACAGTGCCTTCTGTCCCCTGTCCTGCCCCCATAAACTCTACAGTGCCCTCTGTTCCTTGTATTACCCCAGGTTCTTGTTCTGCACAGCCTGTCTTGCCCACTGTACAAATCAAAGCCTTCACGCCTACTCCTGTGTGCCCTCCCTGGCAGCCTCCTCACCAGACCCTTCATCCTGGTTATTGGTGTCTGCTCCAGCCCAGGTTCCTGTTGTATGTTCTCCTATTCTTACTCCTTCTGAGGCAAATGTTTCCAACAACTTACATCTGTCAGCTTCCAAGTACAATGTAGCTGTAGATTGTCATCACTGGGTGGGTCCCAAATTTTCCCCGGGATCCAAGGTTTGGCTCTCTACCAAGAGTATCCGCCTACGGCTACCCTTTTGAAATTTGCTCCTCGGTTCATTGATCCCTTTACCATCTTTCGCCAGGTCAATGCTGTTGCTTTTAAACTTCACCTCCCTTCATATTTGAGAATCCCTAATGTTTTCCATGTTTCTCTTCTGAGATTGTATATCATCAACAGATTTTCCCATCCTCATCATCATTCTTCCCCAATAGCGAGTACCTCGGATCAGTATGAAGTCAAGCTATCTTGGAATCTAAATTCATCAGAGGGAAGCTCTTGTATCTAATTGACTGGAAGAGATATGGTCCTGAGGAGAGGTTTTGGATTCCTTCTACTGATATTTCTGTACCCCATCTGGTGGAATTTTTTCATCAGAAATGTCCCCTTAAGCCTGGCCCTAAAAAAGTGGGGAGACCTCGTAAGGGCAGGGTACAGTCACAAGTTAGCCTGCAGCCTCTTGTGTGTTTATTCTTACCTTCTTGTTGCTCTTGATTCCCTTCACATGTGTGTTTGTCTGTGCTCACCTGTGGGCATCGTCTTCTCCTCTGGGTTTTATGTCCTTCCCTTCTATCACTTCCTGGCCCGCCTCCTAGCTGGCTTGTCTATTTAAGACTTGCTCAGTCTGTCCCACTTTGCCTGAGCAACTTCGTGTTGTTGGAGCTCCCTTCTGTTTCCGCTGTGCATCTTGTGTTGTCTATCTGTATACCAACCCCGGCTTCGTTCCTGACCTTGCTTGTTTTCCACCTGTCCTGACTTTGGCTTGCCCATTGGATTCCCTGTGTCTTCTCCCATTGGACCCTGCTCCTGCTAGCGGTCTCCTCCACCTCAGCTGGGGGCCACGACCTGGTCCCAGCCTGCTGCAAGTCCATCCCCACCATCAGGGGCCATGGTGAACAAGCAGGCTGGGGCTTAGACTCCGTGCCCTGGGGAACCCCAAGATGATGTGGACCTATAGAGCTCACTACCATAGGCGTTGACACTTAACCCATCAGCAGGACCGGTATCTGCTCCTTTGTGCAAGGAGAAGAAGGATGAGCCCTACAAAATGGCCGATAGCAGGCCTCTGGTGTTAAGGTCTCTGACCAAACAATCAGAAACAGACTTCATGAGGGTGGTCTGAGGGCCCAACATCCTCTAGTGGGTCCTGTGCTCACTACCCAGCACCATAGAGCTCAAATGGCATTTGCCATTGATCACCAGAATTGGCAGGTCCACCACTGGCACCCTGTGCTATTCACAGATGAGAGCAGGTTCACCCTGAGCACGTGACAGATGTGAAAGGGTCTGGAGAAGCTGTGGAGAATGTTATGCTGCCTGTAACAATCATTCAGCATGACCATTTTTGTGGTGGGTCAGTGATGGTCTGGGAAGACATATCCATGGAGGGACACACAGACCTCTGCAGGCTAGACAATGGCACCCTGACTGCCATTAGGTATCGGGATGAAATCCTTAGACCCATTATCAGACCCTACGCTGGTGCAGTGGGTCCTGGGTTCCTCCTGGTGCACAACAATGCCCGGCCTCATGTGGCGAAAGTATGGAGGCAGTTCCTGGAGGATGAAGGAATTGATACCATTGAATGGCCCCATGATCGCCTGACCTAAATCCAATAGGGATCCACCTCTGGGATATCATGTTTCAGTCACTGCCAGGTTGCACCTCAGACTGTTCAGGACCTCAGTGATTCCTTGTCCAGATCTGGGAGGAAATACTCCAGGACACCATCCATCCTCTCATTAGGAGCATGCTCTGACATTGTCAGGCATGTACCATTTTGAGTTGCTGCAATGAAATTTCAGCAAAACGGACTAGCTTTCACTTTGATTTTCAGGGTGTCAATCCTCTGTAGTTATTCAATCCTCTGTAGGTTGATAACTTTAATTTCCATCAAACGATGGGGCATCCTTGCATTCCTAACACATTACCCAGTCCATATCAGTATAGATATCCAGCATGATATTTTTCCCCATTGAGATCTGATGTGTTTTCAAAGTGTTCCTTTAGTTTTTTTTTTTTTTAGCAGTATTTGTGTGTGTGTGTATATATATATATATATATATATATATATGTGTGTGTGTGTGTGTGTGTGTGTATGTATTTGTATGTATGTGTGTGTGTATATTGATACAGTCATGGCCGAAATTGTTGGCACCCTT